TGGTAAAATTTTTAACAAAAAATATATTGTATTTGATACTTGAAATAGTTCATGTGCAAATAACGTGTGCATTAACTAGTAATAGGATTGCATTCCATTTGAATGCTTTCCATTTGAGGTACTGCATTCCATTTGAATGGGACGCTTCCAAGTTTGCTTCTGTTGTCTCAAGGGCAAACTCCATTGCCATTTCTGCCATCCCATTGTCATCCAGAGGAGGTGTTGATGGCAGAGTGTGGTGACCTAACAACAATGGGACTTATACTGTTTAATCTGGTTATAGATTGAGCAATTGTCTTGAGCGAGTTCAAGTGGAATGTAGTACCTCTATCTCCCCTCATCCCAGGCTTTGGCAGGTTATCTAGAATATGAAGGCATTATCGAAGGTTAAACATTTTTGGTGGAGGGTCTGTCATAACATTTTGGCCACGCGGGAGAATTTATATAGACAAAAGTGTGTGTTTCCACCTTGTTGTCCAGTTTGCTTGTTGTCTTCTAAATCTATTGAGCATACTTTATTTGATTGTGAATGGAATAAAAGGGTTTGGTTTGGCATGAACCTCGCCTTCGACTGGGATGTGAGCTCCTTCATGTTTGTGGCTCAACGAACCTCCTAGATTTTGGAAATGGTGGTGGATGCTCAGAGTAGGCTTGATATCTTGGGTAAAATTGCTTCAGTGGGATGGGTTATCTAGAAATCAAAAGGTGTTTTCTAATGAGGAGGTTAACTCTTTAGCGGTAGTTATTCGTGCTCAATGTCTGTGGAGTGACTAATTTAAAGTGGATGCTGCAGTTCATTCTGCTTCTGTTGTTTCTTCGGCCTCGGAGGTTCTCCCCCCTCTTCATGTGAATGATTTCCTTATTTGTTGTGATGGTTCCTTTATTTCTAATTCCAAAAAGGTTGTTTCTGACGTGGTGGTGTGCAAGGAAGGTGGCAAGTTGGTTTTTGGAGCTACTAAATCTTTTCCTACATTTTCCTCCCTGACTGTTGAAGCAGAGGCAGTGCGCCAAGCTTGCCTTATTGGTTATTGCTAATGCATTACTGCTTTCCAATGCTACTATTGTGAATGATTGTTTTTGTATTATTAAGCTTAGCTCTAAGGAAAATGTTCCCCTATGGGAAGTTAGGGCCATTATGGAAGATACTAGATTTTATGCTAGGTTACATAACCTTAGCTTTTTACACAAGCGTATGACCTGTAATAGGGCTACTCATTGCGTGGCAGACTTATTGGGTGGCAGTCTCTCATCTAACCAGTTCTCTTCCGTTGGATTGGTTAGGCTCCCCTCCTCCTGAGCTTAAAGCTTTTATTCTCTCTGACTATAATCTGAATTTTCCTACTTAATATTGTATCTCCTGCTCTTGTTCTGTTAAAAAAAAAACTAGTAATAAACCAATATGAGCTTATTTGGTTTATATATATATAATAGTTGTTTAGTTTTTGGATATGGAAAATAGAAGATAAATTGTTTGGATAACAGAGCTTTGTATGAAGTTTTTCAAAGATTAAGAACAAAAAGTCATCAATTTCAAAGAACACTAATTACATATTTTCGTCAGTTTGAGACTTTCGAAAATTTTTGAAAATACGGGATACAATTTATTATGCACTGAAATGCGTCATTTAAAAGGGTACGTGCTACCTTTCCTGGTCTTCCAGCTTAGCTGACTGCTTTTTCATTCGTGTCATTTGTGATTTTCCAAAAGCGTCTGCTCCCCAAAATGGCAACCCTTGCTTGTCTTGACGCAGGAGTAAGCAAACAATCTTGCATTTCTTCCAACTTGAGAGGGTATAGCTCAGTTGGTAGAGCTCCGTTCTTAAAAATTGAGTTGTTGTAATTAAGAGCGTACGGAAGGTTCTCACCCTGTCCCTGACATTTCGGCCTTTTATTGATAGGAATTTTACCGATACTGAAGGTAGCTTGCTTACCAAGTCACCCACTTGAGAAACTAGTCTCTAGAAAGACGAGGAAGCAAAGCTGTCTACGAAGCATATCTTTCATGTTGCTTCTAAGTAAGATCGGTCAATTCCTTCAAATCGTCCACTGTCGTCCAAAGCTCCAGCCTTTCAAATGGCACAAGCTAGCAAGAAAGTGTTTGATCAACTTCTAATAAGCTTATGAATAATGCTATTTCTACATGTTCTGCGTTTTTTCGCCAATTGATTTTTCTTATTTTATTGAGATTGACTTTTTCATTAGACCTCGCCCTATACATCATAGAATTTTCGGATCTATGTGATGGTTTTGTTTTACTATTCTTCACATTGAGGGGAATGATGACCTATTTGTTGCATGTTCAATTTTTGAAATTATTTTTTTATTAGCTGAGATCTATCCATGGACATTCAACACTTGTTCTTTATCACTAGGTTCTCTTTTTCATTTTATATTTTGTGGATTAATTTATAACATCGTGCAATGCAACGTTGAGAGTTATGTGAATAAATTTTCTTCATCCACATGTTGTATAATACTAACAGAGAAAGAAAATCGTAGTAACACATCTCACCCGCATATCATTTTTTAGAAGATTTTACCAAATAGTCAATTCAATAATATCTCATATTTTTTTTTATTAATTTTTGGATTACTATCTGAATATGTATTTAACATTTTTTGTGTTTTAAAATTATTTTCAGAATCTTATAACCAAACATATTTTAGAATACAAAAAAGCAAAACACTTTTCTAAAACTATTTTTGAACAGTACTTGTAGGGTGAAATACAATTTACACCTTTAAAGTTTGCCCTGCATTTACAACAATCGAGTCATTAAGTAATTACGTTAAAAAAAACATTACATAAGCACTACGTGCCCAAGTCAATTGCATAATTTTGACCGAATAAAATCAAATTATGAGTCAAATCTATAAAAAGGTGAGCACGTAAATTGGAGTGAAGTACTCAACCATACGTCAAATGAGTCGATAGATGTAATTTTATTCCATAAACTCTAGTTTTATAGCTAATTTATTCAAAAGTAATCCATAATTATATCATGTTATGCTCACATGATTTTTTTTCTTTAAAATTACTAAAGGTTCGTTTGGTTAGGAAGAAAAAATAAATGAAAAGTAAAAATGATAGAAAATAAAGTGAAAGAAAAAAAATTAATAAAAAATATTTTTTCGTGCAAGTATTTGGTTAGAATGAAAAATTTACAAAATTCTTTTTAAAAAAAAATATTTTATTGTTTGAAATAAATCAAAGTTATAAGAAATTTTTTGTAATTATCTAAATTACCCTTAATTATATTAAGTTGGTCTAAAAAAATATGTAATTACAATAGAACATTAATTTTTTTTAAAAAGTGGCTCGAAACCTAATTATAAGACAATCACCAATAATGGGTCAAGCCCAAATGACCCAATCCATGGAAAAAAGTCCAAGCTTATAAAAGACCAAGCAAACCCTATGAAGTCCAAGACGGTCAAGCCCATCAGGGAGCTATACCCTTGCCCGCTGAGGAAGAGGAGAGATCGCCAGAAAGAGGAGAGGTCATCAACTATTAAGTTGTCAATCCGTTATAACCGTCAAGCTACTCAATTAATACAAATTTCTATAAATTGTAAGTTCCCCCAATACTTAGGGGGCATCTCAACAAAATCAGACTCATCTCTCTCTCTCTCTCTCGTAATTCTTGCTCTCCCAACGCACCAGAATCAATAAAATTTCCAGCAAACATAGCCATTGAAAGTGGACATAGGTCTCATTGACCAAACCACTATAAACCTTGTTTTCTCTTTCCCTCTACTTCCTGCATTTTATATTACTTAATTGACTGGTGGTGTACAAATCGATTTTGTTCNTCAAGCCCATCAGGGAGCTATACCCTTGCCCGCTGAGGAAGAGGAGAGATCGCCAGGAAGAGGAGAGGTCATCAGCTATTAAGTTGTCAGTCCGTTATAACCGTCAAGCTACTCAATTAATACAAATTTCTATAAATTATAAGTTCCCCCAATACTTAGGGGGCATCTCAACAAAATCAGACTCATCTCTTTCTCTCTCTCTCTTGTAATTCTTGCTCTCCCAACGCACCAGAATCAATAAAATTTTCAGCAAACTTAGCCATTGAAAGTGGACATAGGTCTCATTGACCAAACCACTATAAACCTTGTTTTCTCTCTTCCTCTACTTCCTGCATTTTATATTACTTAATTGACTGGTGGTGTACAAATCGATTTTGTTCATCATCAGCCAACACAAAAGTTTTTGAGTCAAATATTATATGATTAATCAAATTCATACCCAAATATTTTAAGTTAATAACTAATAAAATATTTTAAGAAAAATAAGGGTAAAATGAGAAGTTAGTTATAGATCACAACTTTCTTGCATTTTCTTGTATTTTTTACAAGAAAAAAAGTTAGTTATTTGTGAGAAAATTAAAACATGAAAGAAATTTATTTTTTTCTATCATTTTCTTTTTCATGCTTATCAAACACATTAAAATTTAAAAAAAATTATCTTTCTTATATTTTTTACCATTCTCCTATNTCACAACTTTCTTGCATTTTCTTGTATTTTTTACAAGAAAAAAAGTTAGTTATTTGAGAAAATTAAAACATGAAAGAAATTTATTTTTTTCTATCATTTTCTTTTTCATGCTTATCAAACACATTAAAATTTTAAAAAATTTATCTTTCTTATATTTTTTACCATTCTCCTGTTAAACAAACGAACCCTAACGGATTTGATCGAGAAGTTTCAATTGAAATAAAACATTAAAGATTAAAGATTTGATTGTTCTAATTGATACTAGTTCAAAGACCAAATGTACATCAAATGTAAACTTTAGGGGTATAAAGTATAATTTAACCCATATTTTTAACCCTACAACTTCCTNGATTGTTCTAATTGATACTAGTTCAAAGACCAAATGTACATCAAATGTAAACTTTAAGGGTATAAAGTATAATTTAACCCATATTTTTAACCCTACAACTTCTTCCTCCCTCCGGAGAAAAACAATTTTCCCAGTCTTTTACTCTTCCTTTTTTCCTTCTTCTCAATAACAGTCATACCTGAAACTCTGAAAGAAAAACGACACAGTTACATGAATCCACAAGATCAAACCCCCCAAGAACCCCATCCTTACATTAACAATCCATTCCCATTTACAATCTATTTACCTCATTCAAACCCTAATTCAATCCCAAACCATTTTAACCCCAATGGAATTACAAATCCTCACACAACCCCCAATTTCGATTCGAATTTAGTTTCAAACCCTAGTTTAGACCACTTCCTCACACTATCAGTCCCAAGAAAACGAAGAAGAGGCAGGCCACGCAATACGACGCCATCTAACCAGGTATTCCAGATACCCTCGTTTTCCAACCCTAGAATCTATGGGAACAATGGTCAACTATCTTCATTACCTTCCTCTTCAGCGCAAATTATCAAACCCCATATCGAGAGTTATAGTTTTTCAAGCCCTAACTATGGTCAATTATCATCATTACCTTCTTCTTCAGCTGAAATTACCAGACCGCATATCGAGAATTATAATTTTTCAAACCCTAACTATGAAGGAAGTTACGATTTTACAAACCCCAATGATACAAATCTTGATAGTACAAAACGATCACAGAGTGTGCCAGATATAAATGATGAGATCATTGTGATCAACAGGGAAGCTACAGCTGAAGCGTTGATTGCATTAACGGCTGGGTTTCCTGCTGACCATTTAACGGATGAGGAAATTAATGGCGGGGTTGTCAATGTTATTGGTGGAATTGAACAGGTTAATTATATTTTGATCAGGAACCATATAATTACGAAGTGGCGTGAAAATGTATCAAATTGGGTCACAAAAGATATGTTTGTTGATGTTATACCTAAACATTGCAGTACCCTTTTGGACTCTGCCTATAATTACTTGGTTTCACATGGGTATATTAATTTTGGGGTTGCACCATCGATTAGAGAGAAGATTCCCGCAGAACCCAATAGGTCTAATGTGATTATTATAGGAGCAGGGCTTGCTGGGTTGGCTGCTGCGAGGCAGTTGATGTCATTTGGGTTCAAAGTTACTGTTTTGGAGGGGAGGAAGCGTGCTGGGGGACGAGTTTATACGAAGAAAATGGAGGGAGGGAATCGGACAGCGGCTGCAGATTTAGGAGGGAGCGTGTTGACGGGTACGCTTGGGAACCCACTTGGGATTTTGGCTCGGCAATTGTCTTGTTCGCTTCATAAGGTGAGGGATAAGTGCCCACTTTATAGTTTGGATGGGAAGCCTGTTGATTCTGAAATGGATCAGAAGATGGAGACTGCTTTTAATCGGCTGTTGGACAACACAAGCAAACTGAGGCAGTTGATGGGGGAAGTTTCACAGGATATTTCTCTTGGGGCGGCACTGGAGACTTTTCGACAGGTTAATGGGGATGCGGTAAATGCAGAGGAGATTAACTTGTTTAATTGGCATCTTGCGAATTTGGAATATGCAAATGCAGGTTTGGTTTCTAAGCTTTCACTTGCATTTTGGGACCAAGATGACCCGTATGATATGGGAGGGGATCACTGCTTCTTGTCTGGCGGGAATGGAAGGCTGGTTCAAGCATTGGCGGAGAATCTGCCCATCCTCTATGAGAAAACTGTGCACACCATTCGATATGGTAGTGGCGGAGTGCAGGTCATTTCTGGGGGACAGATCTTTGATGGTGATATGGCACTGTGCACTGTTCCACTAGGAGTTCTGAAGAGTGGTTCTATTAAGTTTATTCCAGAGTTGCCTCAGAGGAAGCTTGATGGGATAAAGAGGTTGGGATTTGGTTTGTTAAATAAGGTTGCCATGCTTTTTCCTCATGTGTTTTGGGGCACCGATCTCGACACATTTGGGCATCTGTGTGATGATCCTAGCATTCGAGGGGAGTTCTTTCTGTTCTATAGCTATGCAACTGTGGCTGGTGGCCCCCTCTTGATTGCTTTAGTAGCAGGAGAAGCTGCACATAAGTTCGAGAGCATGCCCCCTACTGATGCTGTGACAAGGGTTCTTCAGATCCTTAAGGGTAAATATATAAGTTAGCATAGTACTGTGTAGATATTTGTGTGTAGTTCTTTTGTTTATCCTAAACATTGAATAAATCAATTTCTCTTGAAAGAGAAAATTGCAACTGACTCTTTTGTTAAATGTACAATCTTTATGTTTTGATACTAGTGACTGCTCGTACCATAATTATATATTGTTTTAGATAATAAAAAATTGAGTACAAATGTGAGATCAATGATAACTGATGTAGTGTTTATGGATTTTCTATGATATATAATGTTGTATAATAGTAAAAACGATCTATATACGAGTTCCAAAATAAATTGCAATCCATAATAGCGTAATAGCTAAGCTTATCCTTATTGTAGTACCGCCCATTGTACCGCACACCTAAAAAAGTGTCATATCGTGTACTCATACTTTTACCACGTACCAAAGTGACCCACGATCCAGGTAACGTTTATGGAACCAAGATTTTACCTTGAGGAGGTCAAATCCTATGTACGCAAACTGACACCTAGAACATGAACTATCTCTATACTTAGTAAATTCAAATTTACAATGTATAAAATATTTTAAACCAGTAAATATACATATACCATGAACAAAGGAAAAAGAAAAGAAAATGAGCCACTTGAATTGTTTTTTATCAAATATCCTCTTAGTTGTCTATCAGAGTAGTATTCAGCATATCCTTTTATTGAAATAATATTCGACATTATTTTCTATCACATTATTTACCTATGTTTGGATCCGTACCAATTTTTTGGCAACTTTATTTTCAATGTACACACTAAAAAACTTGTGAAAAAAATCAACGTTCATCTTATTTCGAAGTTTAGTTATGATAACACTCATAAGCCATAACCAAAAAACCACAATGGAAAATTGAAATAAAACTAAGTAGTGCAAGTACAAATAGGTACAAGTGAAATGAGTAGCGTAGGCACAAGTCTAATCAATTTACTTAAAATGGTAGGCTTTTCTAGTTAACAACAGCATATTTAAATATTTAAATGAAAAAATCAATACGGATGATAACCTAATATTATGATGAGAGAGTATGTTATCGAAAAATTACTTTTTGGTATTCTATGTCTTTTTTTGTCTAATCACAAAGTGACACTTGCAAAACTTATTATTTCGATTGGTCCATATAATTCTTACAATAGCTACAAATAACTCAAATTAAAATCTGCAGTTGCGATTTTTTTTTTTTTGTATAACATCGAAATATTAATTTTGATACCATAGGCTTATCCTGTGATTATAGTAATAGAAGAATTTTATTATAGTGATATCATAATATTTAATAGATACTGTCAGGACCGGAGTCAGTGTATGGAAAACTAGAAGCACAGAGATTTGTTAGATATTGTCCTGGGACTGGACCTTCTTCTTCTTCTACTACTCTTAGTGCATATATACACAAAGGTTTTTAAAAGTGCAGGGGGCCATAGCCCTTAGGCCCTTTCCTAGGTCTGTCACTGTTTGATACTCTTCAGTTGTATATGCAAGCTTTGCATTTTAATGCCTATTATTCTTGGCACTTTTCTGACTTATATTTGAATTACTTGAACGATTTCAAACATCATTTTATGCTTATTTGTTTTCATTACAAATATATTGCTTGTATCAATTGCCTTTCTTCTCAGCTGTATCTATTAACTGTTATTGAGATCAGATCATCTCATACTTGATACAGCATATTTGTAGATGTTGGTGAAGCTGAAAAAAGTACTATTGTTTCTGTTCAATTTGAGTGATTGTTGTAGTAAGGCTTTGGGCCCATTGCATGCAGGTATCTATGAACCGCAAGGAATTGCTGTCCCAGATCCCATCCAAACTGTCTGTACAAGATGGGGTAGTGATCCCTTCAGCTTGGGTTCTTACTCCAATGTTGCAGTTGGGGCATCAGGAGATGACTATGATATCTTAGCAGAAAGCGTGGGAGATGGAAAACTTTTCTTCGCTGGGGAGGCCACCAATAGGCGCTACCCAGCAACTATGCATGGAGCTTTTCTTAGTGGCCTTAGAGAAGCTGCAAGCATGGATCGACATGCTAGTGCGAGAGCCTTGAAAGTAAAAGTTGAGAGGAACCCATCAAAGAATGCACATTTGTGTGCTTCTCTGCTTGCAGATTTATTTAGGGAGCCTGATTTGGAATTTGGAAGCTTTTCTATCATTTTTGCTAAGAAAAATTCTGACCCCAAATCAATGGCAATTTTAAGGGTGACATTTAGTGAGCCACGAAAGAAGAGTCATGAAGGTTCAAAGTCAGATCAGCAGTATTCCAATAAATTACTTTTTCAGCAACTTCAGTCTCATTTTAATCAGCAGCAAGAGCTTCATGTTTACACATTGTTGTCAAGGCAACAAGCGCTGGAGCTGAGAGAGGTGAGAGGGGGTGATGAGATGAGGTTGAATTACCTGTGTGAAAATCTTGGAGTGAAGCTTATTGGGAGAAAGGGTCTGGGTTCATCTGCAGATTCTGTAATTGCTGCCATTAAGGCTGAGAGGGGCAATCGGAAACCTGCTTCAACTTCTTTCCCTCTTAAATCTGGTGGGTGCTTTGAGCTTAACTGAAGTATTTCTCCAATTGTTTCGTTATTCTTTATTTTTTTTTAACTTAATTCAGATCTTTACCTTCTTTTGCAGGAGGAACATCCAAGCTCAAATCAACCACTTCAAAGCAAAAGTTGATTAGGTACGAGCTTAATTTTTCATTCATTTTGATATTCCTTTTGTCTATCTCAAATATCTCCTTTTTATTGGTTTCAGGAAGGCTAAAATACTAGCCAAAAGTAGTGGCTCTGCCCCTCCTCCAAATACAGATGTGGGAGTTAAAGTAGGTTGCAGTTCCACTGGTTCTATCCTTCCTCCAAGTTTAAATGTGGGGGCCAAAGTAGTTGGGATTAGCAATGGCTCTACTCCTCCCAATTTAAGTGTGGTGGGTAAAGGGGTGGGTAATAGTGATGAATATAACCCTCCTGCGAATTCAAATGTGATGGCTAAAGCAGTGGGTGACAACAATGGATCTTTCCCTCCTCTGAATCTAAATATGGGATCAGAAGCAGTGGGTGGTAGCAGTGGTTGTATTCCCCCTGAAAATATGGTTGAAGATAGTGTACATGGTTTGGCTCCACCCGACATTTCCTCTATGGTGCTTGGGGATGGGTGAATCGTAGCAGTGACAATTGAGCACATCTTTTTGTCTGGTAATCTTCAATTTCACCCGAACTTACTTAATCTCTCGTTGATGCATTTTGGAAGCTTCAGGCGAATGAACTTGTTTTTAATAAGAAACAGTCAGCATATGAACAAATGGTACAATATAGAAAGAAGTGATGCTGGACTAGATGTCATAACCTCACATCCAACAGACAAAGCAAACAAAACAACAGAGGATTCTCTATGATTGGGCATACCTATAAGTCACAAATGGCTCTTCAGTCAGCTAAAATATAAAAATGGGAAATCCCCTCAATATCCTTAGTGATTGAAGCCCAGAAAGATGCCTAGAAGAAGATCCGGTTCCATAAACTTCAAAACGTGTTCTTCTTTTCCAACCACTTAAACAAAAACGTAGAATGGGGGATTTATGTAGTATCTTCACCCATTCTTTGCCTTGGGATCTTGATTTCACCCTGTTGTAAAAGTTAGTATTTTTACTCAGGGAAAAAGAAAGTTGTGACCTCTTTTATTGTATCTGCTGCACCCATTACGGTTCAACCCCAAAAGCTCACTATTGTCTATAGTCTATACCCATCCTCAGATATCTCCACACTTACAATGCATTGTTTTCGCTGAAGAGTGCAGGATTTTTGCTTCTGTTTTTTTTCCCGGAAGAGACATGGGCCATTCTTTTTTTCCCTGTCATCTTTCTTCTTTTTTGGTGTTCATACATTGCATCTATAATATCTGATTTGCTTTACTGCTTTGTTGTTTTGCTTAATTGATCAGGTAGTCAATTACTTCATTTGCTGAACTGGTTGATTGATTTGGTTATTTGAGTTATTTGTAATTGCTTAATTTCTTTACTTGTGTAATTTGCTTGGACTCTTGGATTGTTTAATTGCTTAATATCTTAAATGCTCATATTTTGTTTGGAGTCTTGTGACCTGTGAATCTTTTGACTTTGTCTCTATTAAAACTTGAAATACTGCCTATGTCAAGAAATGTGTCTTCCTATCTTCAACATGCTTCTGGCGATGAAACCCATGTCTTGACTCACATGTAGGCCCCATGAGACATTGCCGTTTCAGTGCTCTTTTGCCTTAATAGTTATGACACCGAGTATAATTACGGAATCTCTATTCCTAATTAATGCTCATTTCTCCGTTATGTGGACTTTGTTATTCCTTCGAGTGTGGGTGGAGAGGAATGGTCCTTTTATTCTCCATAGGAATCAAAAAAAAAAATATTTTTCCAAAAGAAACCTGAGCTCTCTCTCTCTCTCTCTCTCTCTCTCTCTCATTTTTCACTATCATCAAACCTGTCCACCATTTTTTGTAAACATGCTACATTTCATATTCTTTTTTAGTTTCTCTATTCTTTAGACTCTTTTTTTGTGCACTTTTTTTTTGAGGTGTCTGTGTTATGTCTCCATGAATATGCGGGCTTTCAATATCCTCAGAAGTCAGAACTGTATGCAATGTTTGTATATGTTTCTAGATTTGGTTTTACTCCCATTACTGTGTCTTTTTTGTCTAGTGTCTGAGAATGGGCAGATTTCAGTGAAGTGGCTTCCTCTAATGAGCAATGAGCAAAATGGATGTTCAGGGAACGTCTATCACTTTGTTTGGTTGGATTATAAGTTACATTATTCTTTTTTTTTTTTTTTTTTCTGTTTTAAAATCTGTTTCCTAGTGAAGAATGAGGGCGGAGTTGGTGCCTTGGCGACTTACGTTGAATAGGCTGGAGAACACAGTTTGTGTTCTCCAAATTTACATTACAAATATGGCTTTACCACTTGTCATCATGCACGTGAATTCAAGGAGTTGATGGTTTTCTTTTCTCTTCTCGGCTACGGGAAGTTAACATATATGCTTCTTGCCTAAGATGCAAATAACCTGACTTAAGAGTCATTTCTCCTAGAGACCACCTTGCTTTTTTCAACTGCTACTGACAATCACCTTGTGTTCTAGTGCAGTGCATTGCCTTTTGGAATCTCTCTCTTGGACCATAAATATTTTGCCGATGGAGACTTCAGTTGTCCTTTCTTGCTTGCTTAAGGCAAGATGGGGAAGGGGAGTATGTTTGCTGTGCTGTCATATTTGTATATCGATTGAGAGTAGGTGCATCAAAGCTTGCCCAACGGGCTTGACAATCTCCAGCAATTGAAAGAAAGTTGTAGCACTCAAGGGTGCAACGTGTTAGACCTAAGACGTGAATTTTGTACATATTGGGATTTGAGAAATAAATCTTATTTTGCAATTTTCTTTTCAGAGATAGTCCCATTGCCATTTTCAGATAGTTGGTTGGAAGTATTTTACTTGAATATATGGTGGCGTTGGCACAAAAATGCATTCCTGTCCCAACTGTATTCCAGCAAACCAAACCCTAACACGAGAATCAGCATTCGGTGTTAACTCATATTCTTGATTATAATTTGGAGTGGTGTTGGAAAATGGTCATGAAGTGTTCTTTCAAAATTCTACCCTTTGTTTAGCAAAAATAAAAAAAAATAATAAAAAAAAAATCTTTTTTTTACTCTTTTTTTTTAAAAAAAAAATTATTACTAAATGGGGTCTAAATTATACAAACTTGTGTACCAGTTCAGTTTCATTGCAAAGTATATCAAGTTGTCAAAGACAAAAAGAGGGCATAGGTTGAATCACTTGATCATTCAAACCACACAAATAGCAAACAAAAGCTTTAGTGATATATGCAGAAAATGATTCACTACAGCTGAACATAATCCAATGAAGAGAAAGAAAACGGAAACTTTGAATTAAGTTTTACATTATTGATGAACGTGAGAAAATACAAAACCATTGCAATTTGACTTGATACGTAAGGACAAAATGTCGGATTTAGTGTCCATAGATAGCCAAAGAGGTAATGGCAGCTGCAACCAATAGTGGTGGATGAGGATAGAACGGCAGCATATTGCCTCTTGCCTTGTGATTCGTTTTACAGCCACCTTACCTGGGTTGTTTTGCATATCAACTATGGAGTGAAGCTGTACTGAATTTCTATCTAATCCAGGTACTGTATGCAATGAAGAAAATGAAGTCCAGAAGATCTACATACAACAGAACCTCAAAGTGCATCATCTTTTATGCAGCAGCAGCACTAGGAACAGCAAAGTGAAACTTTTGCAATAGATACAGAAAGTGGAACATTACCTTTCAAATAACTAGAAGGAGAGACTAGAGAGAGTACTCAGTTGCATTATTGGTAAACTAAGAAAATACAACACCATTGAAGTCCACTAGCCTTTCTACCACACCATTCAAAGTCAAACTAGCTTTTGAAACAAGCCAGAAATTGAGTACAAGGATCCTAACTCTAGAACAACAGTGAAATGAATAACCTGTAGCACCATCGTATCGTTAGTGTCATGATCTGCGCATTGTGTAATAGCATTATATACAATAGAAGGGCTCTCCAGTGCCGAAAGTCCTGTCAAACTAAAGACCTTATGCATCAGGTTTTCCTGCAAGACCATCCAGACTGCTCATCCCTCCCAACCAGTCCTCCAGTTTTGCTTCTCTATCAGCCCGGAATTCATCATAGTCTTCTGACAGAGAGACTAACTGATGATTTGATAAGCTTCCATCATCTTTTGATGATTCTTCTTGTGTCTCATCAGCAATTTGACTCGATAGTGGCAATTCGTCAGCTTCGGTGTCTGGAATAGTTGAAGAGGTGCTTGCAGCTGCAACATATAGTGGTGGGTTAGGATAGGACATAAGCGTATCCCCCTTGGCTTGTCTTGATTCTTTGGGATCAAGTTGAGGCCACTTGAAATTGCTGGCTCTTTGTTTTGCTGACTTTAAGACTGTTGACAAATAACTACTAGTCGTTTTACCATCCTGCTGCGGAGAAACTGTGTTCCGACCCCAAGTAGCTGGACTCCAAGAGCTAGTTCTTCCCATTTGAAAACCCAACCTTGGGGTATGTATTAACCCTCTCTTTGGTTGCTTTGTTGCCATGACAGCTAGTGATTTTCTTATGTCTCTAATCATCTCATCAGCAATGGGGAAGCCACAATCTCTCATTGAACTCACCATGGTGATAGAATCCTCTAAATCTTCTGTATGGAGAGTCATCTCACGAGACTTCTCTGCAACATTATTCTTGAGATTGATAAGGTTGGGCACAGCATTTTGAGCGTGCTGCTGAACATAGAAAAGCCCCACAGAGGGTTCATTTGCCACGTATTGTATCATATCTGCCAAGCTTTCAGTTATCTCTACAAAGCCGTCCACTGTTGAGAATTCATGCATCTTCTTGAAGGCGAATGGCTCATCATCACTGGTTTTGGCAACAGTTGATGATGGCAAATGCATTTCAAAGCAAAAAGAATGAGAAAATAAAAAAGGAGGAAATAAAATAAATTTCCAATTGCCAATCAAACTGTAATAAATAACTCATACACAGTAAACATTGATATGGATAAATTGTTAAATTATTTCGATTACAGGAATATTGCTGAGTCACATTACTATAGAAACAAGAAAAATCTGTGGTTTAAATACTCGTGGACACGAAAGTTTTTGTTGCAAAAACAGGGGATGCATTGTTGACATCATTAACTGTTCCAAGGAAGATAAAAAGGGCCATTATAGAGAAACCTCAAGGCCAGATACCTGTCTATTATCTACTTACAAGCTGTCCACTAGCTCAAGAAATAAGAAATAAGAAATCTCAAATCCAATATAAGATATTATATTCACAGCTCACATCTGTATGTTTTCATCATATAGAGCACGAATTAATCATATTTTTTTAATACTTAGTAATCCAAGACTGCCATATTATTTTGTTATGTACTCAACTAAGACAAATTAGTAAAAGTATTATTTTTCTTTCTGTTTGGTTATTTGCTCTAAAAACTTGGGTTCAGAAGGTGTAAAATGAAATTGACAGCCTTGAATACAACCAAGTAATGGGCTCACAAAACTGATGGAGGAAAAGGATCCATTACGACCACAAGTGATTAGGATTAGAACTTGATGAGAAACCATGTTTTTCCAGAGCTTCCTCTTGTGCTTCCATCATCTTCTACTGGAGCCCAATAAATAAAGCTATTCAATTTTCTAAGAATTACCTAAACATCTTTTTTTCCCAACAGAGAACTACCCTACTCTGGATGTGTGCACTCCCCCGTATACCATGCACATTTGATAATCTTTTGCATTTACAACTGTCATCCTATTAAAAAATTTTAAATTGCACTTTAAGTGTGTAATCTCATCCACTTCCTTTAGGTTTTTTGGAGAGTTCACCTGAGTCTTGCACTTACAAAGAGATATATAAGAGGTTAACACTTGTACATGCCCTGTGTGCATTCTTTGGTTGATTACAGTTTACTTATCAGCAAGTAATAGCAACAATCCCAGCCTCCTCCCCCAGGCCACGGGGGAAAAATGACCTTGACTTCTCTTAACGCATTGGCTCCTGTTCCCTTAGCCCTCTCACTTGTCCTAGCATCTATACTTTTAAGTGTACAAAACACTTCTATTTTCTAAGACTAATATGCTCAGGAAATGGTTAGTAATAGGCTTGGATCCTACTTGGATTGTATCAACAACTACACAAATTCTGAGTTTAGAATGTAAAGGACAAAGTATATTTCTATTTCACCTCTAATACTTTTGCTCTGTTTCTAGTGTGGATATTGAAACCTTGGCTCCTGAGACGGGATTCCGACAGGGCCAAATATGGTTATAGTTAATAGTTTTATGCAACCATTCTATTTAACAAGTTATCGTTATTAACAACCTTACAACGTAGAGAATGTATCAAGATCAACGTTTGTACAATATTTTTGAAAAAAATTAGTTTGACTCAAAAAATAAAAAAAAACAACTTGTTTTATACTTGCCATCATAAAATTTGGTGCTTGATTTTTGGAACAAAATTTTGATAGCTCATTTTAAATTTTAACAAATTGAAATTTTGAAGTTCGATTTAAATTTTAGCTTGTAAATTTTACTTTTTTGGTACTACTATATTATCACCACATTATTCTATTACTGAATTTTATCTTCTTTTTCTTTGCAAGTCTAACACCACTATTAGATATAAGCCACGTTTTTAACTCATTTTTATAGTGATTTACTATTTTATTTTCTCTGTTGGCCATCAAAATCATCAAAGCAAGTATTTTGGTTTGTAAGAGGATTGCTCATCCATGTGATCACATCCTCATTTTGTTATTATATTTTAAATCATTAAGTTTTTTTGAATATAATAAGATAAATATCTCACAGAATTTTTTAAAAATCTAATGGAAAGCATAAATGTTTTAAAAATTTAAAGAGGTTAAAAAGTATTTTTCAAAAGATGAGGGGGGCCATGACCCCCCTAGACCCCTGTGCATTACCATCTCTGCTTGGATCCATAAATAAGCTTCCAAACAAATGAAGCATTTCTTATGAATTTTTTTTCACACAATATCATCCACAAAAACTTCCCCGAAACAATTAACATGTTCATCCACCAAACATTGATCCCTCTTTGTTAGAAACCTTAAAAATTTCTAGCAGGTACAATAAAATTCTAAAGTAATCTTACTTGAACATAGATCATGCCACCGCAAATGAGCTTATTTGTATACCAATTTATGATCTGCCTGCAGTTAAAATTTGAAGGCACGGTGTTCAGTTGATATTCAGAAAGCTAATTCATATTCAGAAAAACCTTCATCTAAATAAGAAGACTGAACACAGGTTGTAACCAATAGAGCCCATAAAGTATACATATTAGAACACAAAAATGGCATAGAGGGAAGGCTTCAATACAAAAAATTAGACACTTATTAGCCCCCCGCCCAAAAATAATAAAATAAAAAATTATCCACTATAATTTTTTTTCGCATATATTATATTGTCAAAAAAGCTTAAAAAATAATTTTCAATCCTAACATGTATTTACACTTCAAAGTTACATAACTCCAAAAAAAAAAAAAACTTGTAGGCTTCATCTACTTGAATTCATACTTTACCACAAAACCTTGAGATTAAAGGGCCTGAAAGGAAAGCAGAAAACAAATTGCATCTACAGCTAATAAAAGAAGAAGGAAGAAATTCACCGGAATTTTTAGTGATTTTTTAACAGAAAGATTTTCCGAGAAAACAATTTCCTGGGAAACAAAGAAAACCCACGTAGCTCACAAATCAAAAGCAAAAACAATCCACTTAAACGAACACCCTCCAAAATTAAAGAAGCACCCAAATCTACAAGTAAACTATGAAGTAAAATTCTTCAACCTGTGTGTCTAATCAAGCAAGAAACAAGGAGAGAAAGAGGCAATGAGTTACTTACAGTAAACCTTAGAAAACAAGATGTCGCTGCAGTGTCAGCCTCAGATTCTCTCTCTCTCTCTCTCTCTCTCTCTCTCTATATATATCGTCTCAGGTCATTGATTACATTTGTCACTCTCTGTACGCTTTCGTCTTTTTTTGTTTTGTTCCATTTTTGTCACATCAAAGTCGATCAACGACAGAGAGGAAGATAATGTAAAAAAATATTTTCTATTCTTTTGAGAAGGTAATGTAAAAAAATTAATTATTCGGAAGTAAATTAAAAAACTTTAATATAAATCACCGGCAAACTGGGATTTCCATTTTTCTTTCAATTGGGTAAATCTCATTTTGACCCCGAAAGATACAACAATTTTTAATTTATCCCACGAATGGTTAATTTTTTTACATTGTCCATTTAAAGAAATAAAAATATTATAATGTGACCTACCGTCTTATTTTTGTTTGGTGGTCCATATATTTTATAATTCTTGATGGGTTTATAAACTACATTACAATATTTTTATTTTTTTAAGGGTCGATATAAAAAAAATTAAGCATTCAAGGACAAACTAAAATCTTTTTTATCAATGAGGATACAAAATAAAAATTTTCCTGTTTTTATCAATAAAGTAGAAAAGAAAAAAGTTCTAGGGGACAATTAGATTGAAAATTTTATTTGGACGTGATCATTATCGTTTAATTTCATAAGAAAAAGCTCGTCTGTGGGGCCTATAAAACGAAAAAACTAAATACAACATAGTTTTAAAAATTGACTCGGATATCAACTCGACAAATAGAATGGGTTAATGAATTATTGGTTCAATCGGTAAGTCACCGGTCGAACTGGTCAAATAATAAAAAATTATAAATAAATTAAAAAATTACAATAATCATAAAAATAACATGCTTAATATATAAGAAGAATTATATTTAGATTCTATGAGATTTTTCACTTAATTACTCAACCTCCCTGACATTTAAAATATTATACATACATCCCTCTGAGATTTGTACGCGCGTAATACTTAGATTCATGTCGTAAATATATCAGTTAATAAATTATACTTAAACCCTTTAAATTTAAAATATTATACTTAGACCAAAAATACTCTAATGAAAGATCAAATATCAAATATTTTAAATTTTATAATCAAAATTCATGTTCTATTATATCATTTATTGAAATAAAATTAAAAATAAAAATTCAATTTTTTTTTAAAAAAACGTAATTACTTACAATTATATTGTATATTCGAATTTAATTTGGTCGTTTAAACGACCAAATTAAAATATCAAACTACCCAAATTAAAACTAAAAGATATTGTGTCCATTATAGTTTGACTCATTGTTTAATTTTTTGGTTTTATTCTAATAGATAGTATAATTATATATTAACTATGATTTTTTTAAAAAAAATAGATTTTTATTTTTGATTTGATTTCAATAATGACATAATAGACCATGAATTTTAGATGTAAAATTCATTTTATATTATGAATGACTTAGACCTTTGTTTGATTTTTTAGTTTTATTCAAATAGATAGTATAATTGTATAANTAAAAAAGGAGGAAATAAAATAAATTTCCAATTGCCAATCAAACTGTAATAAATAACTCATACACAGTAAACATTGATATGGATAAATTGTTAAATTATTTCGATTACAGGAATATTGCTGAGTCACATTACTATAGAAACAAGAAAAATCTGTGGTTTAAATACTCGTGGACACGAAAGTTTTTGTTGCAAAAACAGGGGATGCATTGTTGACATCATTAACTGTTCCAAGGAAGATAAAAAGGGCCATTATAGAGAAACCTCAAGGCCAGATACCTGTCTATTATCTACTTACAAGCTGTCCACTAGCTCAAGAAATAAGAAATAAGAAATCTCAAATCCAATATAAGATATTATATTCACAGCTCACATCTGTATGTTTTCATCATATAGAGCACGAATTAATCATATTTTTTTAATACTTAGTAATCCAAGACTGCCATATTATTTTGTTATGTACTCAACTAAGACAAATTAGTA